TTACCAGTTTTCTTCTTCTGCTATCTTTGTCCCAGAAGGATACCCACGAAGTGTCAATTTGATCTCTCCTGTGTGAGGTGGCTCTTTGGATATACAGGGGTCAGGGAGCTGCTTGGGGAGACGGTCTCTTCTTTATAGGAGCTCAAATGCTGAGCTTTGAGCTCCGTTGTTCATTCAGGGCTGCTGGGCAGGTACGTTTAGGTCTGTTGCAGCAGAACTCATAAATCGCTTTTTGTTCCCAGGTGCTCTGTCCCAGGGATTTAGGGCTTTATGAGTTTCCGTTATGCTACTGCCTTCTATTTTTTTCCTTCAGAGCTGCCCTGCCCAGCAAGGAGGCAGCCTAGTCACTGTCTGCTTGTAGAGGCTTTGCTGAGCTGCTGTGGGCTCCGCCCAGCTGCCGAGTGAACTTCCCTGTAGTCCTGTTTATATGGGTGTAGTTATGGCAATGGTGGCCCACCTCTGTTAAGGCGGAGTCTGTCTGCATTGGCGGGTTGCCTTGGCAACGGCAAGCTGCCTCAGTAATGGTGGGTTGCCTTGGCAATGGCAGGCTGCCTCAGCATTGGCTGACTACCTCCGTAGTGGTGGTCCACCTTGGTAATGGGGGATGCCCCTCCCCCACAGAGCTGGACCGTCCTGGGTTCAGCTGCTCTTGCCGTGAAACTCTCAATCCAGATAGTTTCTGATTGCTGTTCTTTTGTGGGGGTGGGACCAGCCGAGCCTGATGGCCTGGCTCCCTGTGTCAGAGCCTTTTCTTTTTTTTTTTAAGTTGGTGCTCAAGTCACCTGTTGAAGAGGCTCGGGTGGTCTGTGTGTTTTCCCCTGCAGCAAGTCACTGCACTGGCTTAAAAAGCAGCACTGAGATTCGTGGCCCTTTTTTTGCCCTGGAATCTACTGTCCTGGTTCCCTGCTCAGTCCCCTTTTTAAACAGATGAATGGGCGACTTCCAGTGGCTCCAATCGCCAGCCAAAAGGGCACCTGGACCGGTGTATTTTGTACGGAGAACCACTGCTCCAGGGCACTGACAAAGCAGCCGCAAGGGGCAAAGCAGCGGCGCCGTCTGGCACAGCTGCGCTGGCCGAAACAGCAGCGCTGGCCACCCGTGGAGCTCCTCTGCCTGGGAATTTCCTAGTCTGTGGGCAATAAAAATGCAGCATCCACTCACCGTCTGAGCTTTCACTGGGAGCTGCAATCCTGAGCTGTTCCTAAACGGCCATCTTGGATCAATGAACTTCCCTTTTTATTTATGTGTGCCATCATAGGTCAAGATAATTTCTTTTAGGCAGCATATAGTTGAGTCTTTTGAAATTTATTCAACCACTCTGTGTCTTTTAATTAGATAATTTAGTCAATTTATATTTAATGCTATTATTGGACTTACTACTTCCATTTTGCTACTTGTTTTCTGGTTGTTTTGTAGCTCATTTCTCCCTTTCTTATCACCCTAAATGTTAAGTGATTTTCTCTGATAGTATGTTTTAATTCCATGCTTTCTATTTTTTGTGTATCTGCTACAGGTTTTTGCTTTGTGGTTACCCTTAGGCTTTAAAAAATCTTATAACAAATTATTTTAAACTGATGACAACTTTAATCACAAAGAAAAGAAGCAAAAACAAATAAATGAAAAAATTCTAAACTTTAACTTCATCCACACTTCATTTTTACTTTTTTGTCATTTCACCTTACATCTTTTTATATTGCCTATTTTTAACCAAATTGTTGTAGTTGTTATTATTTTCAATGGATTTGTCTTTTTAGCTTCATTCTATAGGTATGAGTGGTTTACATACTACAATTACAGTATTAGAGTATGCTGAATTTGTCTGTGTACTTACAATTACAAATGCGGTTTTTAAACCTTCAAGTGTTTTTTTTTTGTTGTTGTTGTTGTTGCATATCAGTGTCTTTTACAAATTAAAAAACTATGGCAATTCTTGATGAGTCAGATGGCAATGAATTTCTTCAGATTTGTTTGTCTGTGAAAGTCTTTCTTTCTCCTTTCTTTTTAAAGGATTGCCTTGCTAAGTACAGTATTCTTAGTTGGCAGTTTTTTTTACTTTACCACTTTGAATATGTCATACCACTCCCTCCTGGCCCAACAAGTTTCTGTCGAGAAACCTGCAGCTAGATGTATCAGAGTTCCTTTATATGTTATTTACTTTTTTCCCACTGCTTTTAGAATCTTATCTTTGTCCTTGTCTTTTAAGTATTTGATTATAATGTGCCTTACAATAGCAGTAGTAGGTTGAATCTGCCTGGTGACCTTTGATCTTGCTGGACCTGAATATTTGTGTCTTGCCCTACATTTGGAATGTTTTCTATTATTATTTTCTTGCATGGTCTTTCTACCCCTTTCTCTTTCTCTATGCCCTCTTTAAGGCCAATGGCTTTTACATTTGGTCTTTTGATGCTGTCTCATAGGTTTCATAAGCATTTTTCAATCCTTTTAATTCTTCTTTTCTTTCATTATGTCTGACTGGGTATTTTTAAATAGTTTGTCTTTGAGCTCACTGATTATTTCTTTGCTTAATCAAAACTAGTGTTGTAATATCATAAGGCATTTGTCTTTCCATTCGTTATAGTTTTCACCTATATGATTTGATTTTTTAATTATTTCAATCTCTTTGTTAAATTTCTCTTAAAAATTTCTTAATTGCTTCTCTATGAAGTTCACTGAGCTTCTTTAAAACAGCTATTTGAATTATCTGCCTGAGAGGTCACACAAATCCATCTTTCCAGGGCTGGTTACTGGCATCTTCTTCAGCTAGTTTGGTGAGGTCATTTATCCCTGAATGCTTTTGATACTTAAAGGCATTCATCAATGCCTGGGTTTATTGAATCATTATTTTTTTATAATGGCTGCTTTACAATTTATTTCAGATATTTCCAACATTAATTTTTATCTCAGCCTTGGGCATCAGTTAATTGTCTTGTATCTTTTAAGTTGTGATTTCCTTTGTTCCTTGTATGATTTTTCATTGCATCCTAATCACTTTTTAATTTTATATCATGAGACTCTGTGTTCTCTGTAATATTTTTATTTGCTAGAGAGCCCCCCTATTGTTTTGTGGCTGAAGAGCTGCTTTTCTATGTATGTTCAGCTTCTTCTGTTAGGTTCCCCTGACACAACCTTTGAAAAAGTGTAGCACTAACTCACACTGCCTCATTGCACATGGGCAGTATGGAAGTTTAGCTCCCATTCCAAATTTGCTGACACCTTCATGGTAAAAATGTGTTACTGGCTCATACCATCTTATTACCCCAAAGTGGGAGTGGAGGCTTATCTGAACTCTGTGCCCCATTGACACAAAACGTTTAGGGAAAGTTGAGTACCATCTTCTCCCACCATGTTTTCCTTCATTCTGTCTCACTGTCTGTGGATGAGGATGGAAGCTCAGCTACTGACTGATTTTCACTGACATTAGGGGTATAGGAAACCAGAGAGCTGACTAGTCCTTCCGTGTTCTACTGTATTCAATCTCATTGCTGTCAGGTTTATGTGGGGGGTGTATCATAACAATTACTTGTACTACTAGATGAATGTGGTTGAGCAACTTACTGTTAGACCTTGCTGACGCTATCCTGGCAAGGGAATCAGAGCACCACTTACTTCTGTCAGGGAGGTAATCGATCAGCTCTCTGTTCAGCATCATCAATATTTATCTTCCAGGGTAATAAAAACACTGCCTACTTCTGTCAGATGAAGCATAGAAGATCAGCTCTCCACTTGGTAATTCCAACACCACACTGTCAGGGGAATTGGAATGTCAGCTACTTCCACCAACAGTGGATGAAATATTACTTGTCACCTTTGAGGTTTTTGACTTTGTTCCACACCACAGACTACACAACGAACTCTGTGCTCTTGTCACAAACTCCTGACTAGTTTGTCAGATGTCCTGTAACTATGCATCTTTCCGTGTATTTCCTTCAGCTCTTTGAAAAGACCTCACTATTCTCTCACCCTCTGAATATCTTCTTTTGTTGTTATTTTAAACATTCAAGTAGTCATCATTGATCTCCCCAGCCATAACAAATCACTACCTCCTTTGGGTCCCCTAGTGCTTCAGTTGTACCTCTTTTATAGCGTGCATTATCATCTTCTGTGCATACTGGAATTAACAATAGTTATACCTAACTCCACCACCCCTCCAATTATTAATTAACACTAAGTATCCTAAATTAATTTTCAATAATGTTTATTTATTAAGAAGCCAGTCTTCCAGAAGCTTCCAGTATTTGAAATACTGCTCTGAAATTGGATATAAGGAACAAATCATGCCATAGTTCTCCTTGATTCACACCTAAACCTGGCAAAAAGGGCTTGTGTACAAAATAGAGGAAAGGTTTAGAGATGGGGTATGAACCCAGTGGTTTATAAAAAGACTATTTATGACAAAATAACTTGTTTTAGGAAATGACTAGTTAGGAGATACTGAGTCCTTACTATGCACCAGTTCATGTGCTAAGAGATTTAGTATGTATTCATCTAATGCAATCTTCACACTTACACTTTGAGATAAGTTTTATTGTTATCCATATATGTAGGTTGATGAAAGCTTGCTCCCCCTTGTTTTAATGTTTTCTCCTAAGCATTTTCAGACTTATGGGCACATGTATTCACAGGGTCAGTGATTTAGGTGTTTTAAATGGATAAAATTGCTGTGGGAGAGTCTTAGTTTCCAGAACTATAGTCTTCAAAAGCTTGCATAAGACTACTTGTTTTATTTGAGAAGATTTCTTTGCATTGGGGCAGGGCAGCTGAAAGCAATTATTTATTCATTTAACAAACGTTTATTGAGTACCTATTCTGTGTAAGATATTTGGGATGCAAGATAAAAGTCCATTCTTGAATAAGTTTGTTGTCTAGTGGGAGTCATACAAAGTAAACATCATGTCAGCATGATAAGGCCTTTTGAATCTATATGTTAGTGGATGGTCTGAACATTAGAATCATAATTTTGGAGAAGAAAGGGTATTAGAAATATTTTTTGGTCTCTTCAGGCCACTTTGTGGGGTTGTAAGAAAGAATTCCCTTGAAGGATGTAACCAAAGGCCTGAGGATACTGTTTTCTTCTTTCACATGTCAACTGCTCTTCTAAGCAAAAAGAGGTTGGTGCATCTTGGTCTGGGGTATTATTTGGAAGACATTATTTGTGGAACATAATGGCATGACATTTACACATACTCACCCTCTGACTTTGAGTATGAACATGTAGCTTGTTTGCATGTGTGAATATATATACACCACTATGTCATTCTAAAGACTTTGGAAATAATTGTTCATTCATGTAGTTTACCTTCTTCCTTAGAATTACTTTCTTGTGAGACAACATTAAAGAATTATCCCATCTCACCAGGCGCGGTGGCTCACACCTGTAATCCCAGCATTTTGGGAGGCCGAGGTGGGTGGATCACGAGGTCAAGAGATCGAGACCATCCTGGCCAACATGGTGAAACCCCGTCTCTACTAAAAATACAAAAAATTAGCCAGGCATGGTGGCACATGCCTGTAATCCCAGCTACTTGGGTGGCTGAGGCAGGAGAATCGCTTGAACCCAGGAGGCGGAGGTTGTGGTGAGCCAAGATTGCGCCATTGCACTCCAGTCTGGGCAACAAGAGCAAAAACTCCGTCTCAAAAAAAAAAAAAAAAAGAATTATCCCATCTCTGAAGTCCTTGGCCTGGGAAACATGGTGAATTGAAGGATCCTTACACATTCTATGTGACCAGCTATTAAACAGTATGAGAACTAGGTCTCTCTGTAATCGACTTGGAAGTTAATGAAATGTTGAGGCAGCCAGTACTGACACCTTGCAGCTTTTGCTCCTGATTTTGTTTGTTTCCAGGTGAATTAATTGCCTTTTTTACTCATGATTACATAATGCCTTCTCTTTTCACCAGCAAAGAGTGAAAGAATGAGAATGAGAACCCTAGACTCATCTGGATTTTAATGTCTTCTTGTAAGTGGGATATAGTGTTAAAAGCTTTACAGACATTCTCATTTAATTCTCATAGCAGCTCTGTGACTTAATGTAAGTGAAATTATGGACACTTTCTTTCCATTCAGGTTTTCAATATAAGCATGCAGTACTTTTATAATCAGAAAAACAACAAATATATGCACAAAAAATTCTTTCTCTACAAAATTAAGGCCACAATATTGTTTCAATATTTTACTTTTTCAAACATTCTTCTCATCTCATGTGCAGATCTCCGGGTAATTAAATATTCTTTGAAAAAATGGTTTAGACTATAAATAATCCATATATGAAGGTAAAATCTTTTTATTTATTCTTATGTTGTAGATCATGTAGGATAGTGGATCAACAAAAGGAATATTACAAAGGAATACTATGGAACCATTAAAAATCATGTTTTCAGAGTACTTAATAACTTTGGAAAATGTTCATGATATACATGAAAAACTCCCTTGCAATTTTATAAAATACAAGCACAGGTTTATTAACAGGAGAAAAAGCAGCATTGTTGACATTTTGGTGCAGTCTGGATGGCAAACTTAATGGTAGTTTTTTCTTTCATTTCACTGAATTTTAGATCTCCACAATGTCAGTACATGACATTTACATTCTGACCAAAAAAAATTTTTTTAAATATAATTGCCAGAAACGATCAGGTAGAAAATATAAAAGATTTTGGATTAAGATGGTGGACTGTGAATTTTACACAGGCTTTTTATTCTCATCTTAAATATCTTAAACTGAAAGAAAATAATTTGTATGCACAAACTCTGTGTGTGCGTGTCTTACTTTCTTTTTTTTTTTTAAGTGAGGAATTCCTGGAAGACAGAAAGCAGATGGAGCCACTGTGTAGGAGGCTGGCGGGCAGCCGACCGCCAGAAAGGAGGAGGAGGGGAGTCGGCCTGTCTGGCTAGGGTTTGAGGAAAACGGTCGAGGGGCGGAGGAGGAAATGAGAGAGCGCGTGTGTCAATACAAACTGAACGCGGGCACGCGCGCTGACCAGCCAGGCTGCAGCCCGCGGAGCGGAAGGCGGGATGGCCGGGGGCGGAGCCCAGGAGCAGGCGGGCTCGGAGGGGGCGGGTTCCCAGGGCGGCAAAAACCCGGTCGCCAGAGTGAAGCCAAGCCAACTAGCGCAGCGAAGCCTAGGCCGCGCGGACTCCTCAGAGACTTGCCGCCGCCTCCGCCTTTGCCGCTTCAGCCATCCCTCTTACGCCTTGTCTGTCTTCACCGTCGTCTCCTCTGTCGCCGTGCCGCAGTCGCACCAGCATCGACAACAGCTAAGTGGCCGATTCCGGGACTTGGGGTCGGGGTTGGGGAGGGCGCAAGGCACGAACAGCACACGCGAGCCCGCCATCTCTTGCGGCAGCCGCCACTGCTGCAGTAACCCTTTCTAAGGGCGAGAGAGGAAAGCGCTGTGGAGAGGCACACCCTGTCCCAGTGCTCACGGTTAGAGTTCGAGCGTTTCTGCCAAAACCTTGTTGAGAGCCTTGCACTTGGAGAAGGGAGCACAGAGCAGGTCTTTGAGATCGCGAAAAAAATAAATATCACATTACATACTGTTGACTTTTTGTCAGTTTAATCGACCAGGGCAGAGCTTTCTCCAAGCCCTCTGAATCCCTGAGCTATGTCTCCTCCGACTGTGCCTCCGATAGGGGTAGATGGCGTGTCCGCATACCTGATGAAGAAAAGGCACACCCACAGGAAGCAACGGCGCAAGCCCACTTTCCTTACTCGTAGGAACATCGTGGGCTGCCGCATTCAACACGGCTGGAAGGAAGGCAACGAGCCAGTGGAGCAGTGGAAGGGCACTGTGCTCGAGCAGGTTTCCGTGAAGCCCACTCTCTATATCATTAAATACGATGGCAAAGATAGTGTGTATGGACTAGAACTGCACCGCGATAAGAGAGTTTTAGCGCTAGAGATCCTTCCTGAGAGAGTGCCAACTCCTCGAATCGATTCACGACTGGCAGATTCCCTGATTGGCAAGGCAGTGGGGCATGTGTTTGAAGGCGAGCACGGTACAAAAGATGAATGGAAGGGTATGGTCCTGGCGCGAGCGCCTGTGATGGATACTTGGTTTTACATCACCTACGAGAAAGATCCTGTTCTCTATATGTATACGCTGCTTGATGACTACAAAGATGGTGACCTACGCATCATTCCAGATTCCAACTACTATTTCCCTACAGCAGAACGGGAGCCTGGAGAGGTGCTCGACAGTCTCGTGGGCAAGCAGGTGGAGCATGCCAAAGATGACGGGTCCAAGAGAACTGGCATTTTTATACATCAAGTGGTGGCAAAGCCATCTGTCTACTTCATTAAGTTTGATGATGATATTCACATTTATGTCTATGGTTTGGTGAAAACTCCCTAAATTCTTTGTGCTCTTTACAGAAGTTGTGGAACTTTTATATGTAAATTATTTTGTGTCCTCGTAATTGTGAACGTAGAGAACAGGTTAGGCGTCAGAAATTTAGGAAAGTGGATAAATTGTATTGTGCCTCCAAATCTTACCTTGACTAGTTTCACAATTTTGCCTCAAGTGTACTCTGGTACTTTTGATATTGCCTAGTTCTGTAATTTAACATTTAATTTGGGTGCCAATAGAAAATTAAAAAGTGTTTGCAACCATTGAAACAATGCAAAAATCGATTAAGAAAAATTAATGGTGTAAAACCACGCCCTGTCCTTCCCACTTCCTTTCTTTACTTTGTTTCTTCCCAGGTAACAAGTGTTGAGGACACGAAGTACATCCTTCTACCTGTTTTCCCCATCTCCTTACAGAAAGTATCTTCCAATAGTTTCTGTAAAATGGCAAGCCACATACTTTTCTTTCTTGACATGTAGATGATATCTCTTCTGATCAGTAGCTTCAGTCTTTCTTGCTATTCTGGCTCCCTGGCCCTCACTCTCACTCTCTTGCACTCTTGCTCTCCCCTGCACGCCCTTCCTCTAACAGCTGAACACACAGTACATGTTGATATGCCAAAGGAGCATTCAAACATTTCATTATTGATCGTCTTTTATTTCCTTTTTTTCAAAATAACGCTGCTGTACTGGTGCTTTTATTTCTGTAGGTTGGCTTCCCAGAAATGCTATGTAGGCGTACGTTTTAGAAATGTTACAAGATTACTATCCAAAATGAAAGCGCTCATTCCAGCATCCTCTCCAGCACTCTTCAATGCTTGAAAATATGAAAAGCTAAAAATTACATTGTATTGCTTGTTACTTTAATTGCCTTTTATCTGACTTAAAAGAGGTTTGTTGTTGTTGTCCTTGTTTCTATTTGGATTTTTCTCTGATTCGGCTTTTCTTATCCTTTGCTCATGTATCTATCGATGTTTTTCATTATAAATTTGTAAGAATTCTTACTACACAGTGCATATTAATCATTTGTAGCTCTAATGTTTTATGATTTTTTTTCATTTTATTGTTAATCTTGACTTTATTGATGATATCTTTTCCTTTATAATTTTTAAACTTTTTAGGTGGACCACTATCTCTTTTATAGATTTTTGTTTCCTTTCTTTATCACATGGATGCCCCCACCTAAAGTCATCCAAATATTCACCTACATTTTCTTCTAATAACTTTATTATTTTTAACGTTTAAATGTTTGATCCATCTGAAATTTATTTTTGTATATGGTGTAAGACGGGGATCCAGCTATAACGTTTTGTTCACATTGGATACCTGATTGTGACATTTATTTAAAATATTACCCATTTTCAAATTTCTGGGCCAATGTCATGATTTATTTATGGTGACTTCACCATAGGTTTTAGAATCTGGTAAAACAAGTCCCACTTAATTACTTTTGTTTTTTTCTTTTATATAATCTGTCCTAGACATTCATTCTTTCACGTGAAAAAATGAAATGCAGGATTTTAATACAACTCTAATTATGACAGCTGACATCACAATTAGAATTATATTATATTAAAATCCTGCATTTTTGTTTAGAGAATTCCTTAATAATATTAAGCTTTAGCACTTAAGAGTTTTAGTACATCATTGAAATCTTTTGGTCTTGTTATTGTAATACTCTTCACGTAAGTCCACCATAACTAATGGAATTTATTTCTAAGTATTTTTACAGTTTGATTTCATATTTTGACATTGTGAATTGATTATTTTTTCTCCTCATTTGTAACTTGCTATTTTTGGCAATATAGACAGCCTATAGATTTTCGTATTTTTATCTTCTATCTAATAAGCTTATTTAATTATTGGAATTACAGTGGATTTTTAAGAATATATATTTTGGGTTTTCTAGATATGAAATTGCTTCACCTGCAAATATAGATAATTTTGTTTCCTCTAATGTTTATTCTGATTACTATTACATTAGCTGGATTTTCCAAAGCAATGTTGAATAGTGATGATGACAGACATGACTGTCTTGATCTTAATTTTCATGGAAATGTAAGAATGCAAAATATTAATAAGGAATAGCATTCCCTGTTAGTATGACATTTACTTTCGATTATTAGTAGATAGTCATTAACATGTTTAAGAGTTTCTGCTGTTCCTGTTTTACACTGCTATTACTAGAAGTGGCTCCTGGATTTTATAAAATGTCTTTTCGGCATCTATTGATAAAATTGTGTGATTTTTGTTTTCTCTTTAATTTGTTGATGTAATGAATTAGAATGGTAGGTATTTGATGTGGAGCCAAACTTGTATTTCTGGAATAAATGCTACTTGGTCATGCTGAAATAATCATTTGCTACATTACTGGATTTTATTTACCAGAATTTAATATAGAATTATTACATTTGCATTCCAAAGTAAAATTGTATTTTGTCTTTCTTATGCTATCTTTATCAAGTTTTGTTATTGAAGTTGTGCTAGCTTTAAAAAATACGAATTTGTGAGTTTTCAATTTTTTTTTCATGTGGTGTGACATAGTTTAAATAGCACTAGGATTATTTGTTTGTTAAAAGTTAGCTAGGACAAAATGTAAAACAGTCTAATCCTGATGACACTTTCGATGGTAGATTTTTAATCAGCTTTGTGATTTCTTCAATAGTTATTGGTTTATTCAAGCTTTTTATTAAAAAGGTATATACATTCTCTGTGACATACAAAGTTAAAAGTTGTCTCTCTCTTATTGCTGATTGTACTGGTTGTTGCTTGTTGATTGTACTATTCAGCTGCTTTATGCTTTTGTATACTTTATATTACCTAGATCTGTCTAACTCTGAAAACAGTGTAATAAAATCATCAGCTATAATGATGTTTTCAATTATCTTTGTATTTTATTTATTTTTCAAAATTAAATAAAAATATAGGAAAGCATGAAAGATATGACAAACATTTGTTCACCTCCACCCAAAAATAACAAGTGTCAACATTTTGGCTTATTTGATTTACACAGAGATTTATATTGTTAAACAATCAGAACATTACAAATAATAAATCTCTTCCCAGTACCATCCCACTTCCATTCTTTGAATAGGCAAACACTGTAATTAATTTGATATGATTATTGCCCATATTTTATATATGTATATATTATATATTTACTATAAATGTCATCATAACTGATAATAGTATTGATTTTTATGTGGTTTTTAAAATTCCCCCGTGAATGATGAACTTTAAACCGTGTGGAGATTATTTTGTGTTTTGTTGTAAGTATCTGTGTTTTACCAGTTGGAAAATAGATTGTAGCAACACGACCAATAGGACTGACCTTAGAATGCTAGTTACTGTTTGGGCATTTTACCATTCGATACTCAGAGAGGCTTAACCATAACTGAGGCCCTGAGATTTAATTAAAATAAAAATGACAGAAATCTCAGTTCTCACAGAGCTTGCTTCCTGGTTATGGGAGACATATACCCACCACCCACCCCTAACGTTTAGGCCAGGCATAGGCCTTATGCTGTCTTATGGTGATTTTGGTGTTATCCCACGTTCTGACACTCAGAGGGAGGCTAGCCCTAATCCTGCCATGGTTTCAAGTGTTTGGGGCATAGCAGGAGATCAAACAAAAATCTTCCTTTCTTAGACAATGATAACAAAAACACAGATAAATATTATTGCTTCCTAGTTCCTGTTCTCACACTAGACCCTAAGTCCTAAACCATGCATTATATTGTTCCCATGGTGACAGGGCTTGGAGATAGAACAGTGAATTATCTAGACAAAATCACTGCTGCCTTAGAGCAGACATTCTAAAGGAGAAAGGAAGACAGCCATCACTATACTTACATCCCTGGCCCTTAGGTTTTATATTGTCTTATAGTAATTGGATGTCCGACAACGTGTCATTCAGAGGAAGATTTGACCCCTAGTTCTAACTATTAGAGATTGCGGATGCAAAAGTGAGCTAGATGAAATCAAAATGAACATTCAAGCCTTCGTAGCTTCAGAATTCCACTGTGTGTTCTGAAATGATGTGGCATAAATGTCAGAGTCTAGAGCAAAGAATCCTGGCTGGAAGATTACAGGAGTAATTCAGACAGAAATTTTTAAGCTAATAATTTTAGAAATGAATGTCAAGGTGCATTGTGAGGGGGAAGTAATATTGTAGCTGATTAATTTTGTAAGGAAAGTATGTAATAATCAAAGGCCTTCAGGATTATGAGTTATCTGCAAAAATCAGAGAGTTAATGTATTGGAATGGACAAGATTTTAAGAGTCGGTTTTTAAAAAAAACAAGAATAAGGGCTAAATGTGTTAAGTATAGGTGTAAAATAGTCCTTTTTCTCTATGTTCATCTGTATCTAAATAGGCTCAAACAAGTGAATGAAGTGTGAAATGTCTACATTGTCTATTTTTTGGGCAAAATATTTCCTTTAAAGAGAAAAATGTTTGTTATCTGTAAATGCCACTGAACTAATTAATTCTAAGTATGGATTTCTTCTTTTTTTTTTTTTTTTAAACAGGGTCTTGCTGTGCTACCCAGGTTGAAGTGCAGTGGGCGATCATAGCACACTGTAGCCTCGACCTCCCGGGATCAAGCAGTCCTTCCAGTTCAGCCTCCTGAGTAGTTGGGAGTACAGGCACGAACCACCATGCCCACCTAATTTTTGATATTTTATAAAGATGAGGTTTCACCATGTTGCCCAGGCTGGTCTCGAACTCGAGCCCAGAGTGATCCACCAGCCTCAGCCTCTCAAAGTGTTGGTATTATAGGTGTGAGCAACCGTGTGTAGCCCTGGATTTACTTTTAACTGTATGAACTATATTCAGGACTTTTGAAAATGTAAGAAATCCATGTTTTCTTTCCTTCACAAATTTTCCACATGCATCCTTCATTCTCTTGTTAAGTGTTCATACCATAAAAGATTTAGGTTCATTTTTAAAGACATCTGGATAACTGCAAAAGGAAGCAACATAAGAGCTTCTCATAAATCAGGGTTTCTGCTGTGGTTACTTTGATTAGTACTTGTTTATTTAATCAATTATTCATGAAATAATAGCCCAAGATCCTCTGATAAAATATGTAAGAAATTTTTCTAGGTGCCATGCTGGGAAAATAAGATGAATAACATGTGGTCTTTTATATAGTAGCCTTCAAACCAATAGCAGAGACAAAAAGTAGCCTTTAAAGCAATAGCAGAGGCAAAAAATGGATATACAACCACGTAGAACACAGTAAAAAGAATGTGATAAATGTTATTTAAATAGTTAGAGGGGTACATATGTGCTGTTAATTCGGGTGACAAAAAGAGAGCTCATTTCATAGAAGTTGATATTCATCTTCATTATGCTACACAAGCAAGTTTCTAAGTTGATGATTTCATAGTACCAACATAGCAAATTATATATATATGTGTATATATATATATAATTTTATTGAGGTATAATTACATAGAGCCAAAGACACAGTATCTTGAAGGTATAACACACTTAAGTTTTCAGTTTTCTGTCATTGATTTACAGCAACATTCCATTGTAATCAGAAAAGACACCTTGTATTATTTTAATCTTTCAAAAAGTTTTTTTATTTACTAATGAATTTATTTGTTTATTTATTATTTTTTAATTGCATTTTAGGTTTTGGGGTACATGTGAAGAACATGCAAGATTGTTGCATAGGTACACACATGGCAGTGTGATTTGCTGCCTTCCTCCCCTTCACCTATATCTGGCATTTCTCCCCATGCTATCTCTCCCCAACTCCCCATCCCCTGCTGTCCCTCCCTTATTTCCCCCCAACAGACCCCAGTGTGTAGTGCTCCCCTCCCTGTGTCCATGTGTTCTCATTGTTCAACACCCGCCTATGAGTGAGAACATGCCGTGTTTGATTTTCTGCTC